TAGGGACACATGGCCAGGCGACAAAGCCCGATTTTCTGCCAACCCTCCAGGATCTTAGGCATGTATACGGTTACATAACGTTACGTGCTTGTTACCCCATGGATCTGAAGGGGCTGGAACCGAGGGTTGGAATATACACGCGTTACCACCCCTCGAGGGTAGAAACGCCATTTTGTATGTTCAGCATGAACGTCGGACGGACATTTTTCTATTCGAGGTTTCAGGCCTTCGTGGTCGTCGATGTGTGGACTTTATCGAAGTCAAGATCTCTCGAAATATCTTTACTTGCGTTCGAACGGCAACCGTCGTTGCTTCGTCTTTTATATTCCGGAAGGATCTAAGGAATCTTAAGTACCTTGGTCCGTAAGAGTTCGTTAAGATCGAGTCGTTTTAAACGTTCCAGGGAATCATTTTCGCTATTATCTTTCTATATCTATTAGCTACGACGAGAGAAGAGAAAGGACTGCTATAACCGGAGCTTGTGTCTTCCTCGAATCGTCCAAGATCATCTGGAAGGATTCGCTTTCACGGCTCGAAGTGCTGAAACGACAGGACTGATCGCGGCAAATGGATTCGACGGAGCGTACCGTGTAAACCGGAAGATTTGTCGATCCATATCGCGGCTTCTATGGACACCTGTTGTGTCACCAAGGATAGTTTTAGTTTCGCGTTATCGCGACCGGTTGAGTGAGTTTTCGTGTAAACTCGACATATCAGCTCTGCCGGGGTGGTGAAGCGGGGCAAAGCGGAGACAAAGGTTAATTTGGTACGAGCTGTAATCCGTCTCATCCGTCGGATAGAGCAGCAGGACCCCAGGACGGATGACAGGAGCCCGGATTAGTGCCTTGTTCCGTCAAGGATTATATCGAGCGCGAAAAAAAAGATTAATCGATATTTCTAGTTTAGCAGGCTGCCACCATACTTTTAATGAAGTTACCCCTGGGACCATTCCGCGTTCGCGTAAAACGCAAAGAATCGGTGTCGGTGTTTATTATCGACAAAAGCAATAATCAGCAAGATGAACAATTCTCGTTCGATATCGTCGAGAGATGCTTGCTTTTCCTCCTTCTTAATTCATCGGTTAAATCGACGCACGTATCCACCGGCGCAATTCGATGCGTAATTTAAATAAATCGTTGTTCGATCGCGGAACGAACCGAGAAACGGAAGCATTTAGGTTCGTGAAAATTCTACAATTCCGTGCTGGCAATTATTCAATCAAAAAAATTCCATTTTTTACGCAACGTTATCGCGCGTCGCAGAAAGACGAGCACCTAAAGTATGAAATTTGGAAAATGGTCGTCTTCCGCCGGACTTCAATTAACGAGGTACAGTGTGCCTGTGCCTCTACCGCCACCGCCGCCTCCGCGATTTGCCTCACCACGGGGTGGAAACGTGCCCTGGATCGCGATGTTACCATTGTTCGTCATGGTAACATTGCGATACGCGTGTAACCATTGCGGGACTGGGAAGTCGAGACTGGCGTGTTCGTCTCGTCGTTAATATAATGACGAAAATGGTGAAACGGTCCGACATCACGTAGAGGTAATTCGGCACGCGTACACTCGTCTATCAAATTGATTTCCACACTCTGCGTCCTTACCAACACGTTTATTTCGTCACGTTTGCCGGACGTTGGGTAATGCAACATCGTTGGCAAATAACGAGAACATTGACAAATTTTTTTTTACTCCCATCGAGGCGTGATTGTCTTTCCAATCTCGTTATACCGTTATTATCATCAACACGAGACCGTAATCGAATTTTTAAGAAGAAGACAGAAGAACTGTAATTATCTAAATTGGAAAAAATTCTACCTATACACACACATCGAACTATAAAAATATGTACTCTTTCCTTTTTAATTCAACAATATATACACAATCAACAATTTAATTAACCATTAAATGAAACAAAGATGGTTGGTAACTGGTGGTACTACGCGAAAAAAGAAGTCGAAAATATAGAATAAAAATTTTTCTTTTGATGCTTTGTTTTCGAGAAAATCGACTTTGAATTTTCGATCGGTACGCGTGCACTTTATCTCGTCTCGTTATAACGGACCTCACTGTAGATCGTTGTCTCGATGGACAAATTAAAAAAAAAAAAAAAATGTTTGTTTTATATTTTCAACTTCTTTTTTCGCGTAGAATTCCGCTTGTACCACCAGTTACCAACCACCCTGTATATAGTGTTTGAAAGTGATCCTTAAAGTATGTTTCGAAATAAGTACATATGTTGAAACGATCAAGATCTTAGTCAAATTTTCTGAAACGTCGATACTGTTAATAACGCTAAATGGCATGGTATTATCGTAATTATCAATGTCAGATTGTAATCGTATTTTTCAAAAAAAAAAAAGCAAACTAAGATAACATTTTTAGTTGCTGAGCCTGGCCTTTAAGCGTACTTCGAGCCAGAAAGATTACGTTAGATGGTATTCGCTGATTTCTGGCAAATAAGCATCCTTCGGGTCCAGGTCATTTCACTGTTCAGAACGGATCATGGGCAACGTGTATTTTTCTCTATAGATGTTGCACGTAAATGGCTGGTAGAACTAGAAACGGTAGCCAGAATATAAGGCTCGAGCACAGGACGTGACGGATCACTTTTGGAATATATGTTGGAGAATGAAGATCGAGGAGCGTAAGTGCAACCGTCGCACCGCTGTTTCTGCTTCCTTTCCTTTCTAATTGACCAACGTTGCCAGTCAATCGAGTGGTAAATTATAGGTCTCAGGGAAAGGATAACGATTATTAGTCGAACGCTAGACTATAAACAAACGATAATAATTTCGAGTTCCGGCAAAGGAAGAACACGTAACAGAAGAGGCTATATCTACAAACTCGCACGTTATTTAACGATTTCAAATAAATTCACTCTTCTGTTTGTGCAATCAAAATTTTGATAACTTCATTTGTCGAATTAAATCAATATCCACATATCGGTGTACGTAGCTATATATACATGAAACATTCTGACCGAAACGGTGCCAACGATTTGGCGGGTCAAAGGCGTTCACAATGGGATTCGACTAGGTTCGAGGAACGATTGAAAATGGTATCTAGATAAAGTTGGCCACATTTAAGGGTCGATCGAAATCTTATCGGCGATGGCGATCATAGACGCTGTGGGTCACACTCGAGTTGGCTGTTTAATTTATCGAGCGTGACGATAATAACTCACGGCACGGGTTTCGACGCTGCGGAACGAACAAGGGCGGTCGATGATGACGATGACGATAATAATAACGGTGCCGGTCGTAATAATAAAGAGCCAGTGGAGGGCCACTCTCTGCTATTCGAATACGCCGTGTGGTTATTTCAAAGGTCTACTTAGCATTCGGTGTCACGTAGAGCCCACGGTTTAATACATCAAAAACTCGGGAATCCATCGTCTACCCTCTCGGTCCTCCTTACCGTCGCGACACCCCTGGGGGTACCACGGTATTCATTTGTTCAAACTTGCAACCCTCTCGAGGACTGTGCGTGCCTTTTGTTTTGGCCGACACGAATTCTGATTGGATCGTTCGCCAGGTACTGCCGGCCATGGCAGCCTTTTCCCGGACTAGGGTTATCGGGCCAATAGTCTCCTCGAGGGCGTTCCTGGGCGGGGATTCAAACGCGTCCTACATCTGTCGCTGTTGTCATCATTATTATTATTATCATCGTGGTTCGTTGGACGTACACCTTTATGAGTTTCCGGCCGAACCCGCAACGTCGGTAACGCCACTCCTATGTGGCGCTTCCGCCACTACCTGCTAGGTGGCGATAGTTACATGTTTGTTGGCGTTTGATAGAAACATGTTTATAATCTATAACGATATTGATATTAATGGATTATTAATTATTTTGATATTAAAAGTAGATTTTATCGAAGATTGAAATCTCTTGTAAGATAAAATTACTGTGGCAGATTGACGAGAATAATGAGTTTATCGCGTTTATAAGGGGATAGGACATTTTACTTTCGATTAACGTTGCATTAATACGTCTGTAGAATAATACGCATATAACGATACGTATGTAAAATACGTAGATATTAATACTGTAAGATGTTAATTCAATCTTTAGAAAAATACATCACGTTTCTCATTATAGTCGTTATTCGAATATTAAATACACATATGTAAACGTCCATTTATGGAAATTTTCATGACGATGTTTCCCGCGGTTATGTCAAAAAATTAACGGTCATCTCGCCATCTATGTAACTCGTAGTTGTTACAAAACGGCGGTGCACGGTGACGTGCTCTTGTTTTACAACGATAAAAATTACAACGAATTAGCGAAACCGGCCGTTTTATCCCTGGTCTATGTCGGGCTGAAGTATCGCGCGAGTAAATTCGAGTGCGTTTAGAGTACTGAAGTGGCTGAAAGTTCCGTGGTAAATGCAATTTTCGTCGAACGTCGCGATCACGTTGGTCGCGTTGACGGGCATATTTTTAAAAAACGGAGAGGAACAACGCGCTCGGGGTTCGTTGAATGACGTTAATCGCTTTTAGTGTTCTCGTGCGGATCGTTTAATGGCATCTAATTTCACGTGGCCCTGGGAGAGAGCGAGAGAAAGGAAGAGAGAGAGAGAGAGAGAGAGAGAGAGAGAGAGAGAGAGAGAGAGAGAGAGAGAGAGAGAGAGAGAGAGAGAGAGAGAGAGAGAGAGAGAGAGAGAGAGAGAGAGAGAGAGAGAGAGAGAGAGAGAGAGAGAGAGAGAGAGAGAGAGAGAGAGAGAGAGAGAGAGAGAGAGAGAGAGAGAGAGAGAGAGAGAGAGAGAGAGAGAGAGAGAGAGAGAGAGAGAGAGAGAGAGAGAGAGAGAGAGAGAGAGAGAGAGAGAGAGAGAGAGAGAGAGAGAGAGAGAGAGAGAGAGAGAGAGAGAGAGAGAGAGAGAGAGAGAGAGAGAGAGAGAGAGAGAGAGAGAGAGAGAGAGAGAGAGAGAGAGAGAGAGAGAGAGAGAGAGAGAGAGAGAGAGAGAGAGAGAGAGAGAGAGAGAGAGAGAGAGAGAGAGAGAGAGAGAGAGAGAGAGAGAGAGAGAGAGAGAGAGAGAGAGAGAGAGAGAGAGTATTCGGTAGAGTTTACAGCGTCGTAATTTATCGACGTCGAGGCTTCGATCTGCTGCCTGTTGATCGTGGGAGCCCAGTGTCCTTAACGGGTAAGTGAATTTCGCATGCGTGTCGATCCAGCTGAAAGAAATACGCCATGTCAGAAAGCGGAGCCGAGTGAACTTCGGCACGATTCATCCTGTCAAAGGTCAGAGGTTTTAATATCCTGTGTTGGACACCCACTTGGCAGCGATAATTCGAATTAATAAGCGCAAATTGCCGAGTCGTGGTTAATACAGGCACATTTCGGGACTAACTCTGTACCGCGCATAGGGATATTTTAACCTCAACGAAATGGATTCTCGGAACATATCGGAACGACCAATCGTGACAGACAGCTTCCGCAGTCCTCAGAATCGTACGTTCAGAAATTAATGCCCGCAGATCGGCCATATTGGAATCGAACGTATTATACGTTCGTTCTATTCCGAAATTACATGCAACATGTAATTACATCGATATCGTTGATTACGCGTACACGTAAAGAAAATGTTTAGAAACAGGTGTTTACATAAGATATTCAAGAATTTTGGCGTTACTTTGCGAGAACTGTCTAACGATGTAAATAAACGAGAGGTTATGCAAACATACTTTATATCTACATCGATCTATTTTTATCTTATTGTATAATAACATTCGAATAACTTCTTCGTATTTTATATATTTTTCTTGCAACTTTTTAAACGATCTAAATTTATATAATATTATTCTCCCATTTGTATCTATATAACGTTCGGATCAAGTTTAGTCAGAAAAAGAAAGACTGGAAAGTATTCGAAATATAGGATTTTCGAAACGCGTGTTTAATCGTAGTTTTCAAAAAGCTTATTTAATATTGATATTCGCCCGATAATGTTCGACGTGGCCGCGGCTTCCAGACGAAACGTGTTTTCGTCGTTAATCGATACAGTTGGCTGGCCAAGAGTGCCAATATTTTCCACAACGGACTTTTAATTGTCTGGTGCTTGCCGCGGTATATTGCGTTGCATTGTGCAGCGTTGAAAGAAAGCGTGTCACGTGGTCGAATCGAAATTAATATTTTCTATTTTCGCGGACAATATCCCATTTTGTATAGCCGAGCGCATTCGCTTATTGTCTCGTGTATGAACGCACGAAGCGTCGATACAAGGCGTGCGTGTGCGTGTATAGAACATCCAGCTAGAGAAAGCGGGAGGGAGAGAAATGGAAAGAAAGAAAAGCAGAGAAAGACGCGAGCGTAGTAAAACATAGTGTTAGGTGGAAAAAAGAGAATATAAAAAAATGACGACACTTGTAGAGACGCGTCCATACTTTTGTATCCTATTGCTGGGTCCGGGGTACAAATGACACTCATTTGTACTGATAGGGATCGTTGCTCGTCTCGCAAAAAGCGCGGGGCTTAATGACCAAGATGCACCTATACGATATCTCGTCACAGATCCGTCAGCGATATCGAGCGTGGCTCAACAATGCGTCCGTCGGAATTAAAAATGTATTATACAAGCTGTCGTTCGGCCTGTGTTCCGTTTAATCGACTCGATCCTCGTTACAACGCGAAACGGGAAAACACTTCACTCGAATGTGCTCGTTTCACGTTTTACCGTTCTGTTTTTTTTTTTTTTTTTTTTTTGTTTTGTACGAAACTTCTTTTCGCCACTGTTCAAATTATCTTTATTCGTTAACATGTATGAAAATGAAAAATTCAGTTTTTGAAAGTTAAATAGAAGAGATAGATAGATAGATAGTTATTGAGGTGAAACATGTTAGGTTAAGCTTGATTCATAGTTGTATAAAATATCTGGCTTCGATGTTACGTTTATGGGCGTGTAAAATATAGATTGAATGTAACTGAATAAACGAAGTAATAATATAACTGGTACTTTCGTCTATCCGCAACGGTATCATCCCGAGTTTGTTTCATACGATGCATTGCAATTGAGGAACTTTATTAAATTCCGATTAACCGATCCTTCGAATTCTAGCATTTCAGCACGAACCGGATAACGTTTATTCTTCGTGATACGTCGTTCATCGCTGTTGAAATAATATCTAGATAATCAAATTTTAACATTTGCATAACAATACACGTCACCTGTGAAGATGGTGTATGTGTTTGTGCCATGAAAATGAGTAAGACGTTTATAACAATTTACGATAGTATGAATATGTCGATGCTAGTCTGATGCTATTCTGTGCTATTAAATGGGCGATACTTTTACAGCTTCGTCGTATTCGCACGTCGTTCGGCAAGAAGCGGCAATAATAATTCGAAGTAATAATAAATCGTTCGTTACGACAAGACCAATTATCTGACAATATCTTAGGAATATTGTATAGAGTGCAAAACGCGGGAAAATCGATGGGATAAGATAATTGGATAGTTGTTTCTCACGGAGTAAGTATATTTCGGCAGCTACATTCGCAGTTAGAGCGGAGATTAGCCGCAGTAATTATCGGGGTAGCATTTTCCTTTGAATCAGGCCTAGTATCGAGCGATTTAGCGGTTGCCGCTCGGCCAGAGGTGATGATGCAAGCCGAAGACGATAATCAGCACGATAATGCGAATGATTGTGTAGAACGCCGGTCCGTGTTAATTATATGTTCGCCGATACATCGTGCGACGCGCCTCCGTGCATTATCCGATTTATCGCCGGCGGACGTTTGAACGGATACGCACTGTTGTGCACGCTGCATAATGCGTCGTGTTTGCGAGTTCGCAAAGTCACTTTCTTGCATTCTTCGTCGCATTTTCGATTGAAAAATTCGTCAACTCGTATTTCGTTACATACAGGGTGGTAGGTAACTGGTGGTACAAGCGAAAAGGGGGTGATTCTACGCGAAAAAAGAAGTCGAAAATATAGAATAACAATTTTTCGTTCGAGGCTTTGTTTTCGAGAAAATCGACTTTGAATTTTCGATCGGTACGCGTGCACTTTATCGCGTCTCGTTATAACGGATCTCACTGTAGATCGTTGTCTCGATGGAAAAATTAAAAAAAAAAATGTTTGTTCTGTATTTTCAACTTCATTTTTCGCGTAGAATCACCCCCTTTCCGCTTGTACCACCAGTTACCAATCACCCTGTATAATACATTAAATTCGAATCGATATCTCGAATACTACAAAGCTAAAGATAAATGTGTCGTGAATAGTTAAGTTATTGTCCCGTTAACCTTTCACATTGCGGGGCTCGTGAGGAGGTTTACGGATCAGATTTAAATATGAAAAGACACATTCGATAGGATTAGTATTATAAGTGTGTTTAGTTAACTAATCAAGCAAACAAATACGTACGTCTTGTAAATAATGTAAAGTTAATATGTAGACAGCTACCGTAACACGATATCCTCTAATTGTTTAATAACAAATTCGGCAAATGGATAGATACTGTTTGTTACAGCGCGTAAAGAATTTCCTTGTTTAAAGAGCCACGAAAATGTTTCTTAAAGCGACGGCTAGAAAATACCGACGAATAGCTGATTAATTTGATCAGAATTCGATAAACTTCGAATCTTCTGTGTATCGCAGCTGTTCCTATTTTCCAACACGAACTAGATTAGATGTTCAAGTATACTATCGAGGAGTTTGCCAAAGAGACAAGAATTCTTGTTAAAACACCACCTTATTCCCGTTGCAAATCGGCGAATTAAACGTTTCAAGCTTCACGCGCACGTGAGTTTGCTGGGGGACGTTAGCACGCTTTTAACCATCGGCCTAACCGTTCATCGAGCCTTGCCTCTTTGCCTCTGTGAAACCGTTAGTTGTTGGCTTCGACCAACGAAAAATCGCCGCGAAGAAGCGTAAAAGACCGAAAAGGCGTACGAAAAAGAACGACGAAGAAGCGAGAGAAGCACGACTGTAAAAGAGAAATGGGTGAAATAGGGACGCTGACGAAAATAGAAAAAAAAAAAGAAGAGGGAGGAAGAGAAAAGAAAGAAAAGTAGAAACGTCGCGATGCGGCGGAGGAAGTTGAAAAATGTCAGCCGGTAAATTGGAAGTACGGGTCGAGTACGGCAGCCCCGACGTCAAATAAACATGCCAGGACGAGCAATTTCGTATATTAGAAGGTCCCGCAGGGTAGGTGCATCCTGCGTCAGGGCGCGTGAGCTACGGTGATGATGTTTGACCGCAGGACGCATCAGGGACTCACTTGCACGGCCGATGCAATTGCATATGCCGACCGCAAAGTAAATGGGCACTGGCTGGTGGGAATTAAGGATTCTCGCTGGAGAAATCGAGTGTTCCCTGTGCGCGACGTTCGATCAGTTCATGTACACGAGATACACGGTGACGATTTTCCATGGTTCTTGGGAACGATTCGAGCAAACAGACGACGGTGCTTCGTTTAACGCCGCTGTTACGAGACGGCAGATTGATGAAATCGTCGGTTATTCCTGCGGTCTTGCGGTGGACAATTTAATGCGCGTCTTTAAAGGACGTCGCATCGACCGATGTTTCTTTTGCACTAATAACTGGACGTTGCATAATTCGAACGAGATTCGCGGATGCGTGATTGGATCGTAAATGGAACATCTTTGCATTGTTTCCAGTTAGTAACCGCATAATATGGAACCTCGTGTCAATTATGTAACGTGGTTGCATCAGATCGTGTAGAATATTACCTTTTCGAACGGAAGAGAAATATCGGAGACCTTCGTCGATTATCACCCGTGTTATAAAATTACTTATTCGCTGACTGTTTCGACGCAATTACGAGAGAAAGACGCGAAACATGTCGGTCACGTAACGATCCGAACGTCGAAACAAAGCTCTTCGGTAATTTGGCAACGAGTTGGGGTGAGAAGGTGAAAATCTTCGAGGTTAAATTCGAGACACGCGAAATTTGAATAATCTTCAGACGAAAGTCGATCTGGCAAGGGTGGCGAACCCTGTAATCTCGGCCACGTGCAATAACGACAACAGAAGGGGGGAAAAATGGTCGGAGAGTAGAAAACGGGAGAGCGAACCAGTCGATAGCAGCCGGCTCAACCGTAGGAGGTTCGAGCGATAAGTATCTAATAGGAATGTAGTACGAGCTTGTAATAACGTTACACAACGAACCGGTGTAATAC